GGCAAATGTTCTTCGCTTTTGCCTGATAGGTTTGAATGTAGGATCTGTGTTTAATCGATGCTCAATCGTAGTTAGATTAATACCGGGCATGTCTTCATGTGACCAAGCGAATACATCTTGATTCTGTCTGAGGAACTGTATAAGAATATTTGTGAAATCTGAGGGGAGCATAGACCATATCTTCACCTTTTTTGTTATATCAGTGTCATTCAAGCATATCTCCACCAAGTCCTCGATTGGCTTAGCCCAGTCTTGCTCCTTCCCTTCAACTTCATCGACAATCAAAGCCTCCTGCTGTCTCTTTTCTTTGAAAGAGGCAACATAGCATTCTCTGGCAATGGACTGATCTCCTCTTAGTTCGCCCACGCCATGCTCGGTAAGGAAGCGCATTAATAGGTGATAAGTCAAAGTGATAGCCTTCATCGAATTTAAGGTCGCTCTTCCTAGGATGACATTATAAGCAGATGGACAATCCACCACCAGGAAGTCGACCATGACAGTGACTTGTTTTGGGCTGGTTCTTGCAGTGACAGGAAGGATGACTGCTCATAGAGGATAGACCTTGTCTCCCGTGAATCCCACCAATGGTGATCTAGTAGGTCTGAGTTTCTCCTTACCAATTTTCATCTTGCTGAATGCATCAAGAAAAATGATATCAGCTGAACTTCCATCATCTACCAAGATTCACCGAGTATTATAGTTAGCGATCATCATGGTGACGACAAGAGGGTCGTCATGAGGTTGCTGCACATCCTTCATGTCTTCATCTGAGAATGTAATAACTGGATCACCTAAACGAGGCATCTTTCGATGTTGAATCTGTACTCCTACTTTACACACCTCAGATGAGCTTCGCATTCTCCTGGCATAGGCCTTACGGGCTGAGCTTGATTTTCCACTTCTTGCACACCCCCCGGCTATGACCCTGATCTCTCCTATTGGTTGTTGATCATGAGGGTGGTTGTCTCAGCCTGCTCTTAGTGGGTTAATGTCGGTTCTGTCATTCCCCACAATAAACTTTCGTATGTGCCTTCGGATCAGAGTCTCAATTTGATCTTTAAGGTTGAAGCAATCCTCTGTAGCGTGCCCATGGTCTTTATGTAACCTGCAATACTTATCACGAGGTCTCCTTGCTGGATCTGACTTCAACTTCAGTGGCCACTTCAGATATGGTTCATCCTGGATCTGCAGGAAAACTTGATCTATCGGCATATTTAAAGGAGTGTAATTTGTATACCTCTCCGCGTTCTTATAGCGAGATGCCCTTTCATTCTGGTTGACCATGGGTTTCTTATACTTGGTTTCCTTTTCATCTCTGATCGTCAGGGCCGGCCTTTTCTTGTCTGACTTCTTATCCTCCCCTTCTTTTCCCTTTCTCGCAATCATTGCATCTTTAGCATTCATATGTCTTTTAGCTCGAACCAATAACTCGGCCATATTGGTAGGAGGTTCCTCTGATAAAAAGAAGAGAAATCTTGAGATTTGAAGTCCTCCCATGAAGGCGGCTAGGGCCACCTTGTCATCCGCTTCCTCCACCTGTAACATCTCCGTGTTAAAACGACTAATGTAATCTCGCAGTGACTCTCCCTTCTGTTGCTTCACAGTAAGGAGGTGGGTAGCCGGCCTTCTATGCCTCTGGCCAGCAATGAAATGGCTCACAAAGCCCTTACTCAATTCTTCAAAGGTTTCGATGGTTCCTGGCTTTAGTTTGTTGAACCATACCCGTGCTGATCCTTTAAGAGTCGTTGGGAAAGCCCTGCACATGATCTCATCCGGCATCGCGTGTAAGTGCATAAACGCCTGAGAAGTCTCCAAGTGGTCGAGGGGATCTTTAGTTCCGTCTAAACTCTCAATTGTGGGCATTCTAAATTTGCTTGGCAAAGGGCATTTCATAACCGAGGGGCTGAATGGTAAATTGGTCTTCTGCACCAAACCATCTATGGCTGCAATGCCTTTTCCCTTCATGGCCTGCATCACACCCTCCATCTTTGCCTTGAGATCCTGCATCTCTAGGTCAACGTGGGAAATTTCCTCGGTCTTTTCAATGACAGTCGTGTCTTCATGGGGTCGGGAACTCCGTGGAAAAAAGGGGTGGATCACCTTTCTATGTCGGTTTCCCACCTGGCTTTGTTCAACTTCGGTCTCATGTCGGGGAGGATGAGTATCCTGCTCTTCCAGATTCCTATTACCCCTGTTTGGATTCGAGAGGTCTTGGCGTAACAAGCCCTGTTGAACCGGTGGAACAAGGTGTTGTAGGAGTGCTGCATTTTGTTGGATCAACTGGTCCATACCCTGATTCAGAGTTTGGACCTGCAGTTCCAACGCTGCAAATCGTGTCTAGTCATTTGGGACGTCTAGATTTTCACCCGACTCTTCCCTTTGACAAGATCTTTGCGACGGTGTTCCTTCGGTAACCATACCGGACCGCAAACGTCTATACCCAACGAGTAATAAATCGATTCAAGGGAATCGCTGTTCCCACAGACGGCGCCAACTGTTGAGGTTGAATTTCGCCGCGGTCTAGTACGACACCGTTTCCTGCAAAATAAGGATGGCAAAGTCAAACACCGGTGTGGTGCCAGCCGTTGACCCTCCGACGATCAAGTTAGTAAGGATTCTCGATAGAGAATTTTAATCGTAATTCGCTTAGTAGGAGTTTTTTTGTGTGTACCTTATTCCCGAATCGTCTTTGTATTTATAGTCACTTCCCTTATTCTTGATAAGGGAATTTCATCGTCCTTAGCCCATGGAGCCTACCTCGTGGAAATCCTATCCTTGATAAGATTTGAACTTACCCAATGACAAATCCTATCCTAGATACGATTTGTCATCATTCTTATCTAATAGAATGGTTATCCTTAATAACGAGATATTATCGTCTGAGAGTTGGAGAAATCTGGTGGCCGGTCAATATTTAATTCCCTTTTTCGTTAAGTCAAGATAGGCTAGGGTTATTTTTCCCTATCAGTAATTATGTTCATTAATCTGCATTGTAAAGGAGGGCATAGAGATTAGATGTTAGGATTATCTTGTTACCTATAGTAGCATATACTAAGGGTGCACAAAAAAATCGTGGAACCAAATTGAACCAGACCCGTGCTCCGATTCTGATTCTAAAATTTATTTCAACTACAACTTTCGTAGGCAAGTTTGAATTCAAAAAGGTAATTTTGTGAAATGTGTGTGTGAAATATTTACCAAATCCAGAAAAGAAAAAAAAGAAGGAAATAATTAATTTGAAAGAGGAAAATAATTCGTGGTTATGATTAAATAATTAAGAAAGGTAGTCTCTTTAAGGAAGTTGTAGTTGAAATAAATTGATGAACAAGGCCCGTAGACAAGTAGTGATGTACTAAATAGGGTGCAGGTAGGTAATAAATGGAATTAAATTCCACTGACATTTTTATTAGCTTAGTTATACTAGTATACTGTAATTTTTAGGGAGATGGGAATCCAATGTTGTACTACATCTGTGCGTGAAGGAGAAGATCAGGTCTTTATTTAATTTTTAACTCATCAAACTTTTTTTGAAATCGCTAAAAATCTTTTACTCTCTGTAATGCAATAAGCTGAGTCATAGTGTAATAAATTCGTACTGTGCATGTACTGCTTGCGTAGTTTTGCCTCTGGGGTTAGTTTAATGAAAAAAGCTTCACTTTTGACCAAAACCTGTAAGGGATTGGGCCCTTGATAGGCCTAGGTTCTTTTCTGGTCCTAACCCTTTTGGGCCTTTTCTGGGGTTTTTTTCAGCCCTGATTTCCTTGATGTGAGTTTAGCCTTTGGGCTTTTGCTGTTTTCCTGGGGAATGCCCACATTGCGTCTTTTCAGGTCTTCTATTTGGATTGGGATCCACAATTTTTCAGATTTTGCAAGGCTCAATCTTTGAGTTTAGTTTAGTCACTTTATTATAGTGTTGGCCCAAAATACAATTAATTAGATATTAAAAAAAAACTTCATTTCATAAGAAAAAAAAATGTATTTAATACTCTGAAAACTATTTTGGAAATAATGAAACAAATATTCCACTATTGTTTTTGAGTTTCTCTCCGCCACTTTAGCCTAAATTCATGTCACACATATTTTAGTCAATCAAGTTCATGAACTATATAAATTTCATACAAAATTGTATATTGTTAGTTGGTGCGCGCTTGAAATACCAATGATGCCCTTTGATTCACCAAAAAAAAATCTCCAAAGATGCCATTAAATTCTAATTTAAATTATGAAAAAAATTAAGGTTTGCTTGATTTGTAACTATAAAAACCGTTCTTAAGAATTCAAATAAAATAAAACAGTTTTCATAGAATAATAAAAGACAATTATCTGAAAACAGATTTTTTTATAATTGAGCTTTCAAAAACTGAACTAAGCCGAAGTTTTTGTACAGTTTTCTATTTTTTATTTACTGATAATATAAAACTGTTACGAGAGTTACAAACCAAGTAAGGCATAAGGCCTTATTGAAAATAAAAAATTGCAAAAAAAAAAATTCTATTTGGTTCAGTTTTTTAAAAACTCATTTATAAAAATGCTATTTTCAAATAACTGTCTTTTATTGTTATTATGTAAAAACTATTTTCTGTTCTCAATTTTTGAGAATTGTTTTTAGAATTACAAATCAATTGTACCTTTACTATCTTAGCTTGTTCAAATTAAGCACGAAGTTAGATTATTTAGTATCTATTACTTTGGCATCCCCACGTGGGCTCAGTTACACCTTTGTTTGCTGAGAAACTCATTACCCTTGAAAAAGAGAATAGGGAAAATTATATTAATCTTCCTTAGCGTTTTCATTCCGTGATTTATTAACAAAAATTTGTAAAATAGTAATTGTCATTTTCTTATATAAAAAAATAATAGAGTAAATTATATTAATCTTCTTCCAATCACTTTTGATCAAGAATTTAGGAAAAATTAAAATTATTAAATGTAACTTTTTTTAATAAATAATATTATATACGTAGTATATCAAAGAAACTTCCAATCCCGCGTCATATTGGCTCATGCAGACTAGTCCGCACGCACCACATCGACCCCTTCCTTTTGCACAGTAGAAAAAGTTTGTAAAGTAAAAGAAAAAAAAAAATCTCATTAATTTGGGTTTTTGAAATCCAACTTCAATTAATCAAATCACTGGAGGAAAGAACACGCCACACAAAGATCCGATCCAATCGTTTTAGTCGGTTTCTGATCATCAACTCCGATTCATCTTCTTCAAATCTGATTTTGTTCATCTGTTTAGAGCATTAATTTCCACCAAAAGGGGGTTTTGAATTTAACCATCCGTTCATCAAATTGCGGAGTAGCGATCACGCTACACAAAGATTCGATCGAATCTCTTTATTCGATTTCTGATCATCTACTCCGATTCATCTCTCTTCGTCAATCTGATTTTGTTCATCTTTTTGAGGAGTTTAGAGAGAAAGAGATGGAGAAAGTGATGAACATCTTGAAGCCCAAAGCGAACCCACAGCAGCAACTCAGAGACTGGCAGCGTCGTCTCCGCCAGGAGTGCCGCAACATCGAACGCCAAATCCGAGGCAAATTTCCCTCAAATGCTTTTTCTCTTACATTTTTACCCTATCTTTATACACACACACACACACAAATCAAAAAGTATCGCAACTGCATTGTTTTTATGTTATAGATCCTGATCTTCTTCTTTTTTTTTTTTTTTATATAATTTTTTATATGGTTTTTAAAATTCAGATATACAGAGAGAGGAGAAGAGTGTACAGAAAGCAATTAGAGAGGCTGCCAAGAGAAATGACATGGGCTCTGCCAAGGTTCTTATGCTATTCACCCATTCATCACCATTACATTAGTTTTTTTTTTTGGTTAATATCATATGTATTATAATTTAGAACTATAAAGATATGGTGAAATGCTGTAGTTATGTTACAAAGCTAACCAACTATGTGATATCTTTAGTTAGTATGTCATAGGCTTTCCCTAAATCTATAAATACATATGACTAGATCTTTATTCTTCACTCTAGACATTTCCATTAGTCTTCTCAATTAGTAAAATACTTTTAATGTTAACCTCTTGTACATTGATTCAAATCGAATACAACTTTTCTGGGTTCACTTTTGAGTCATAATCTAATAAAGGTTTGTAAAAATAATTATTAAAAGAAAAACGAAAATATAACTGGAAACACATACCAAACCACATTCTTGTCCATGTTTTCGACATTCATGAAAACAAGAATATTTAATGCAAAAATAATCAAGTTTACCCTATGGGTGTATAGAATAAAAATCCAGTGGTTTATTAACTTGGAGAAGCGTAACAGAAAACTCAAACTAAATCTTGATTTGGAGAGGTCTAAGTGAACTTCGTCTTGAAATCGTAATTGTGATTTATTCCTTCAGTAGATTTGCTTCTTCTTGATTTTCTTATGACTATATCACACGGCCTGTGATACTAAATTTGGGGGGTTCTTTCAGCTTGTGACATGCAGGTAGTATACAACCAATAAATAATTAAATATTATTTTCAAACTTCTGTTTTTTGTAGGTTTTATTTAACATTTTTCTTGTAAAATTTCTTTCAGGCACTTGCCAAGGAAATTGTGAGATCTAGACAGACTGTGAACCGTCTATATGAAAACAAGGCACAACTAAATTCAATATCAATGCACCTTGGGGAGAGTGTTGGTATGATACTTTGCAAATCTAAATTTTTTTACTCTTTTTTCCAAATCTAAACTTTTTGTTTACTTATGTGTGTGCACATCTCATCACCAATCTAAAGCATCTTTTGAATAAGTGTTCCATGTGTTTACCATCTTGTAGTGTACTATTTGGTACTGAGACAATGCATTCACCTGCTGCCCATCGATAAAGCAATTAATTATCTTTTATATTTAGTATTATAGCAATTGTATAAAGGCAACAAAATTGGTGTAAGCATGGTAAGAAAATTCGGTTTGTTGCCTTGTTTGATCAAGTTGAGGTAGGAAATAGCCACCCATACTACATAACTGGGACCAACTGATCATTCTACATCAATGGGTTGGGGGGGGCAACTTTGAACTATGAACTATGTAATTAAAGTTAGAAAACTTTATATGTCAATTGTAAAAATTCTTAAATTTGAGCTTTTAAAAATATAGTTAAAAGAGTCGAAGTTGTAAATTTACTAAATTTCAAGGAGACACAGACTAAAATTATTTTCAAATTCTCTATTTTGGGTCAATATACTAGTGTTTTGAAAAAAATTGGGGGGCCAATTGAAAATTTTAATGAATTTTAGGGGCAATACCTACAAAGTAATTAATATTTAGGGGGTATAATGAAATTTTAAAGAAAGTTTTTGGGGGCCATGGCCCCTGCTGGTCCACCCCTAGCTCCACCCCTGCTTGGGTGCTAATATATAATGGATTCTCCGTAGACTAGATAATGTCTATGATGCGTCGTCTTTATTAATTAAAATTGGAAGCATTATTAAAGGGACCACAGTCATTTTCAAATTGATCTGTCTAGTTGCCACTGCTATTCCTTGTCTAACATATCTGGTCATATCCAGTTTTTTCTACTTCACTCAAAAATATACTGTATGCATGATTGTTTCTAAGATTAACGAAAGGCTTTTTATTCTCCTTCAAAAATCATTTTTATAGACAATTCTATGTGTCCAGAAATCTGCAGTTGCATTGTTGGAAAGATATCCAGACATCTAGTGCTTCGCCTAATTTAAATGTGATTAGTTTCTTTCAACCTAAAGGAGTTTGATCTAAGTTCACCTAAAGCAAATGAAACAATCAGGACTCTAGTTAGATTGGCTTGGGTCATTTAATAGTAAATCGCTAAATAGAAAAGTTAAGGACTTAGATTGTAGTGTTAAATGTTTTCTTGGTGTAAATTCTTATGCAACCCTTATAATCAAATTTCTTCAAAGTTTAAAACTGTTCAAAATCATGAGAGAGAGAGAGAGACATATATTTCTTGTATTTCAACACACAACCTAATAAGCCTATGTAGGCTTATATAAAGGGTACAAGTCTTACTTAATAACACAAGGGCCCTATCAACTATATGTAATAACATATTGACCTAACACACACACACACACACACACACACACACACACACACATATATATATATAAACATTCTTACACTGCCCCTCAAGCTGGAGAATATATACCAAATAATCCCAGCTTGGAACAGATAGTTCTTAACCGGTTATGACCCAATGCTTTGGTAAACATATCAGCTAATTGATCTTCAGACTTCACGAATGGAGGAGAGATGTTCCCACATAATATTTTTTCTCAAATGAAATGACAATCAACTTTAATATGTTTGGTCCTCTCATGAAACACATGATTTGATGCAATGTGAACTGCTGCTTGATTATCACAGAACAATGGAGTAGGAGCTTCAACTGTCAACTCAAGTTCTTTTAGAAAATGTTGTATCCATGTCAACTCACTAGTGGTATGGGCCATTGCTCTATACTTAGCTTCAGCACTAGATCGAGCTACCACTGTTTGCTTTTTACTTCGCCATGTAACAAGATTTTCTCCTACAAATGTGCAGTAGCCTGTAGTAGATCTCCTATCTGAAGGAGAACCAGCCCAGTCGGCATCTGTAAAACCTTCCACCCTGAGATGACCATTTGATTTATATAGTAACCCAAAACTTGGAGCTTGCTTGAGATATCGGATAATCCGAAGAACAGCAATCCAATGTGGCATTCTAGGGGCTCCCATGAACTGACTTACAACACTAATTGCATATGAAATATCAGGTCGAGTGATAGTGAGATAAATTAATTTCCCAACAAGGCAATGAAATCTGCTCGGGTCATAAAATAGATCACCTTCATCAGACACAAGTTTTGTATTTGAATCCATAGGAGCATCAATCGGACGACCACCCAACATACCTGTTTCTTCTAATAAGTCCAACACATATTTTCATTGGGATAAACTTATATCCGTCTTGGATCTAGCAACTTCAATACTCTAGAAATACCTAAGTTTACCCAAGTCTTTAGTGTGAAATTGATGTTGCAGAAACAACTTCAACTTAGCAAAGCCTTCAGAATCATCACCTGTGATCACAATATCATCTACATACACCACAAGAAATATGAAGCCAGCTTTAGTGCGCTGGTGAAATACCGAATGGTCGGTCCGACATCCGTTAAGATCAAATTTTAATGCCGCCTCAGAGAATTTTCCAAACCAAGCCCGTGGAGATTGTTTCAATCCATACAGGATCTTTTTAAGGTGACAAACAGCGTGAAGATACTCCCCCTGAGCAACAAACCCAGGTGGTTGCTCCATATAAACCTCTTCTGCTAAGTCACCATGCAAAAAGGCATTTTTCTAACTGAAACAATGGCCAATGTCTATTAGCAGTAAGAGAAATCAAAACACGAATAGAAGAAATCTTAGCAACGGGGGCAAACGTCTCATCATAGTCAATACCATAAGTCTGAGTATAACCTTTGGCAACAAGACGTGCTTTTAAACGCTCAACGGACCCATCTGGAAGATACTTCACAGTATATCCCCAGCGACAACCAACAGGTTTGGCACCTGGAGGTAATGGAACAAGATTCCACGTGCCATTCTGATGTAAAGCATCCATTTCATCTTGCATGGCTTTCCTCCAGCCCAAATCAGACAAAGCATCTTGCACAGTCTTAGGAACAAATGTAGTAGATAACTGAGAGGAAAAACATGAGAAGGATGGCGATAAGGATAGACACTGGAGCATCCGATCATATGACTGGATGTTCTTCTCTCCTATCTGGTTTTAATTCTGTATCTCCTTCTCAAAGTGTTACTCTTGCCAATGGTTCATCCAAGGTTTCAGGTTTGGGGACAACTCAACTTAGTGATTCCTTGTCTCTCTCGTCTGTTTTATATGTTCCTCGGTTTCCCTTTAATTTAATGTCTATCAGTAAGCTTACTAAATCTCTTCAGTGCTCTGATACCATGTTCAAAATCATGAGAGAGAGAGAGAGAGAGAGAGAGAGAGACATATATTTCTTGTATTTCAACACACAACCTAATAAGCCTATGTAGGCTTATATAAAGGGTACTAGTCTTACTTATAACACAAGGGCCCTATCAACTATATGTAATAACATAATGACCCAACATATATATATATATATATATATATATATATATAAACATTCTAACAAAAACTAAAAAGAGGACATAAATATTCTAACTCCTATTTCTTGGGTTTGATGGTCAGCTGATATCTGCATCCATGGTAAAGTCATGAGTTCCATGCTAGTTTTTTGTTTTTGATTTTTGATTTTTGTTTTTGTTTTTGGCAGAAGTTCAAATAAACACGAACACCTGCACAAATGCCCTTTCCAGGGCTCAACCTCCCTTATACCAGTTTTCCTAATTTAATTTTGTTCACATGTTTTGTGAAGATGTAGAGAAATGAGTATAGCAGGTTTATCTTGGGCCTATTTGCTAACGGCAAGTAATTCCTACTTCTGCTTTGTCCAAAAGCAAAATCATGATTTTATTTTCTTGAAGCTGAAATAGAAAGTAAAATCAGGTTAACTAGGAAAAAAAGAGAGAGTAAAATCAGGTTTAATAATGCTCACTGTTTTAAGAAATTTGGAAACAAAACACAGAAACTGCGTGTAATAAATTGTGTTTTAGCTTTTGTTTCTTGAATTGGGAATAATACTTAAAACTTCTAAGTTGCAATTAGAGTCTTAAAATACTTGCATTCTATTTGTTAGAAATTGGAATTTCACTAAATAAACCTTATAAAAATAGGTTGAAATTGCTAACAAATACCTCATTATTCAATTACACGAACATCTCGGAGCACCAGTGACATTTATGAAAGCGGTATTTCCAACTTTTCTTTTATGGTTGTACTGAGAGTCTGAGACCAAAGTAGAAACTAAGGGCTCCTAATCCAATTCACATCCCAATTAATAGAACAGAGAACTGGGGGTTATTTTTTATTTTATTTTCATTAAGCAACTGGGGGTTATTTCACGAATAACAAAAATTAATTCCAAGATTCATATTCATGTCATGTATCCTATTCGCAGTAGCTACATAAAAGAATGGAATATATATATATATATATATACACACAACATCAAACATTGGCCTTTGTGTCAGCACCAGGCCTACAATTCCTGTACAGAAAACTTCATTAACGAAAGAAGGGGATTGTAAGAACATAAATAAGGGGAAGACTAATTGAACAAACCACAAGCTACCCAAGCTTCTAAGTTCTAACAATCTTTCTATCAAACAGCTGATGCGCATCGTCCATTTGTCCGACTCTGAGCTTCCTATACATGCCCATCAGTTGTAGTCTTGTAGATGATGTTCAAATTCCATCTGCAAAACATGAGTATGAACATATCTGCAGATTTCAGATTCTGCCATCATAGCACAAGCCCTTACAATCAAAGTGAAAGTAAACCCATTAGTCCCAACCCCAATTTCTCATCCAAAGATAAACCCGGAGACTCTCTTCATACTCTCCATCCATGTTCAAAATAAGAAGCCTTGAAGAACAACCATGAAACATGAAGGGCTCGCGCTATGATTTTTCAAGCCTCCAGTGGTGTGTTGGTCGCTGGTGGTTGAGAGCAATAGTGAGATGAATACGAGTAGAGAGAAGAATGAGTCCGGACATTGCAAGAATGGAGATGGAGAGAGAGTGATGTTGTTGCCAAATCATTAGTGGTCGTGTCCTTCGAAGTCGTCTGTCGCCAGTGGGTTCAAGGGATGAGATAGAGTAGTGAGCCAAGGGAGAAGACTTATTAAACAACAGGGCAATTTATGTAATTTGGCATGAACAGTGTCCCGTATGGTAACAATGCAGACAATACTTGTCAGAAGTATGGAAAGCATCAAAATGTCACTTTCACTTTCTTCATTAAAAGTAATTCTGATTTCTAAAAAGAGAAAACATCATTATTTTTATTGAACATTTTACTCTTTTTTATTTTTAATTTTTTTATTTTATTCTTTTTTTTTTTATAGAGTTGACAGCAATAAGCAGGAATTACTTCCTGTTAGTAAATGGGCCCTTCATTTTTACATTCATATGATAATAATTGCACAAGAATGAGTCACTGATTTGAATTTTCAATGGCGTGTATGATACTATGATGTGATGGTTATGATTTCAACCATGTAATGTGATAAGTAATGTTTGCAGTTTTAACCATTTGAACTAATTAATGAGAAGCAAGTGATCAATATTCTTACTGTTTGCCGTCTATTTTATCCATTTATTCAACTTTTTAGATTGGGTGTTTGGTTAAACCGCTTGAAATCATTGAAGATTTACTCTTTTTGAACTTACATGAGCTCTTTTATTATTAAAATCTTTGGTTGATTTTGCAGCAATTGCCCGTACAGTGGGTCATATATCCAAGAGTGCTGAAGTAATGAAGCTCGTTAATAACCTCATGAAAGCTCCAGAAGTGGCTGCCACTATGCAAGAATTCAACAAAGAAATGACAAAGGTATCTTTATTTATTTATTTTGAGTTTTTTTAAGGGAAACGATACTCTGGCTTCACTCTTGCATTGTACTTGTTTTTGTACACAATTGTTCTTAAAAAGTATTATCACACTGCACATTTATTCCAAAAAATACTCTTATTTTTACTTTTGAGGGTAATTTTGTCATTGGAGTGCAAGATGGAGTGGAATTTAGCTAGAAAAGAATCTTTATGTCCATTGTTAAGAGTTCAATAAGAGAATCTGCATAATCATGGTGAGAGTATGAAACACAATAATCTAGGCAAAAGTTGAGCTATGGGAAAACCCAGCAGTATTCGATACTTAAATCCGATTAAAAAATGGTGTGTAAATTATGTTAGGGGATACGAGTACAAAGCACAGTTAGGAGTGACTTTCTTTATTAACTTCTGAGCATGAAAATAATTTGAGTCTTGTGTCTAATATTTAGGCAGGGGTAATTGAGGAGATTGTAAATGATGCTGTTGACTCTGCATTGGATTCAGAGGATATTGAAGAGGAGACTGAAGAAGAAATTGAGAAGGTCTTGACTGCACTAGCTGGTGAGACTGCTGCTCAGCTTCCGGAAGCAGCCAGGAAGGAGAAATTAAAGCAACCTGCCCGGGCATCAGAAGATGTGGAGGTATGAGCAACCCATCTGCCATTGAATGTGTGTCCATTTTGGCTTCTCACAGTTTTGATTCTCTTGGAGGAAGCTACATATCATATATTATTTATAAATTTTGTAGGAAGAAGCTATAGCCGAAGGTGCTGATGATGAGGAAGAATTAGAAGAAATAAGGGCCCGCCTTGCCAAAGTTAGGTCATAATTTGAGCCTCTTTTAACATCTTCCCATGGCATCAAATGGAAAAGGTGACTACATTTACATGCACAAGGCCTCTTGTTCATTTTGAGATTGTAGCAGGTAATGCCTAATTTACCTGTTAAGAAGCGCCTGAAGGATATAAATCTGTATTATACAAATGTCTCCTTTATTTTGAATGTATTAAGTCGATTGTTATCTATGCAAATACAGTGCGTCGTTTATTGGTCCACTCTTTAATTATTCCTACGATATGAATTACCCTTTACATATTGAACATCCCTTTTCTTTTTTCCTATTAACCGAAGCAGGAATTAGCTGGTCCATAAAATCCATTTAGGAGATGAAATTTTCTTTTAAAGGTGACACTGTGACTTAATTGTGTGCTTTGAACCACCTGACCTACTTGTCATGTATTTGGTTGATAGTGAGTCCAAGCATATGATGCTTTGCTTATACATACCTTCCACGACCATTTGATGATTGGCACGAGCGTAAATTTCAGTTCAGTAACTTCTTGTTTACATTTCCTTTTTGTGTCTGTTTTACATATATTTATGTGTGGCCACACAACTCACAAGTGAATTTTAGCTGTCTGGGAATTTTTTTTTTTTTTTTTTATTATTATTATTATGATTTCCTTGGAAGAGAATCTCTTGGTTCTTTATTCTCATCTCATTTTTTGAATCATGGAGCTCTATCATCCAGGCATGTTGATTTCACCAACAAATCATTAGTATGACCTTACTACTAACAATTCTTAACTAGGTTTACTGTTGTCTTCCTTTGTGCCTAGTACATTCCAAGCTGTGTTTCTCTCTCTCTACAGGGAAACAAAAAATGTTAAAAGGAGTAATATTATCCTTCACCTATACAAAAAAAAAAAAAAAAAACTATACCTTGATTGGATGGATTATGAATCAATTTTTGGTTCGGTAGGAATAAAAGATCGTTTTGTGCTATACCATACATTCCATTCACGATGTGGTATTTCCTCATCTTAGGTAGAAGGTGGACGATTTAAGTCCTTGCAGGGACAATGAGTTTCTTTCTAGGATAAAAAAAAATAATAATAAATAATAATAAGATTAAAATGTTAACTTCATTCACCACTGAATCATGAAAAAAAGAAATTAAAAAAAAGCTTAATAATAATAATCTCTATTACAATTATTACTAAGAACTTTAGCACTTAAAAATCAGCTTTTAAAATTTTTCATTTGATTAAACATCATCTTACTCGTGGCTAGATGTGGATGTGTGATTTTTAAAACTGAAAAGGAGTTGATTAGCCTAATTTATGCTTTAAGATTTCTTAGAATTTGGACTTTTTGAGAAAGGAAAATAATATAATTCCTTTCGAAGTTTTGAAAGGAGAGAGAGATTTTTATTTATCAATAATTATGAGTACTTAGCAAACACTAATGCTACGTTTGGTGTGCAAGAATGGAATGCAAGTGGGAATGGAATTGAATGGTCATTCTCATTCTATTGTTTGGTTGTAAATATGAAATGTGTAGAAATGGAATGATAATAACCCTTCTAATGTTTGGTTAGACCTTCTAATTGAATTCTTCAAAATATCCTCTTAATAACAAATAAATTAAATTAAATTAACAAAATGATATTCTCTAATAATTTTTTAAAAATAAATGGTGGCAGTGACGGTAGTGGATGGTAGAAAGGCAGTAGTGTAGGTGGTGGTGTTGAAAGGCGGCAGTGGTGGCAATGCCATAAACACCTGCCCAGAAATACTGTAGGACGAAACGGGCAGGGAGCCGGGCCTAGCTCAGACTTGCGACGAAAGGCTGGAGCTGCGGTTTTTGAGCAAGTTTTTGGCCAGTTTCAGAAAAAGAAGAAAGGGCGGATTCTCAAAAGAAATAGACCCCATCCGTAGAGCAGGAACCACCAGGCACATCGGGATCTTCCTCAGCTTCGCCGACATCATCTACAACAAGTACATTTTCGATCGCAAGCTCTACAACTAGTCGTACCCAATCTCTCTCACCATGTTCCACGTGGGTTTTTGCTCTAGCATAACCCTCATCTGTTTTCGCATCTTATCTCTTGTCGAACCCATATCACGTGCCTCTCCTCGATCGTACCCTTTCATAAAGGCTGCCGCTGCAACTCTCAGGCGACCGCAAGCCGCAAAACATAAAGTGAAGACTACATAGTGCACACAGTAGAAATAGAAGCACCAACCAAAATGGGTCTTTGCCTCCACCGATCAACATCTTGCTTGGAAATATCTCTCTCTTGCCGTTTCAAACCTTAGCACGTTCAATGGAAAGAGCAGCCCAAAGTCTTCATCAAGAGCGCAGTCGAGACCGCCGTTTCAGTCTTTCCTTAGTTCTGTAGCTGGTCTTGGAATTCTGAATCTAAAAGCTCAGCGAGCAAGGTCCTCGATCCGAGGATTGCTCTGTTGCTTTCTCCCCTCCGTCTCGTCTTCCAATCTCCGATTGCCGGTAGATATCCGATCTCCTAAGTCCTAACGAAACTGTACGACAAACACAGTTAGGGCAGGGGTATATTTGAGATTACAAATTTTTCCCAATCCATATGGGTCACATGTTCCAACTTGGCGTTAAATATGGGATGACTAACTAACGAAATTTGAGTTTTTGCAACAAACTAAATGGGGTTAAGGGCATCTCTAATGGACTCTACGAATTCAGACTTTCTGAATTTGTTACATCATCATTTTCTCATAGCCACATCAGCAGCATTTTTCATAGTCACGTCAGCATTTTAGAATATCCAAATTTTAGTTATCGTATGTACTCCAATGATTCATTTTTGCTCTCCAAAAATATTATTATTTTAATATTTTTAAAATTTAAAATAAAATTTATTTTTTAACTTTTTCCTAACGACCAATATGTATGAGATCTTGATTAATATCATTTGATTTATTAATTTATAGTGAAAACAAAAACATTTTTTTTAAATAAAAAAATCATATTTGAACTAAACAATGAAAAATTTCTAATATCATTTGAAATAAACAATGAAAGGTTTTTTTTTTTAAATAAATAAATATGTATATAATTATTTTTTAAAAAAAAATATTTCAAAAAATAAGTTTTGTGCCAATATAAACGTTAAAGCACTGTTTTGGCCAAACAGTGCCTAAAACAGCTATATGTCAGTAGGAATATTTTAAAAAGTAATTTTTTTTAAAAAAAACACTTTTATATACATATATATATATATTAACTTTTTTTGTCCAAAAAAGCCTTTAAGGCACTATTTGTGTCAACTAAACAGTGCCTTAACGGCTCTTTGGTTCAATTATTTTGAGGAAAAAAAAAAAGACCAAAATCAGCCAAAAAACTAATTATTATTATTATTATTTTTCAGCCAAACATGCCTTACCAAACAGTGTTCTGGCCTAAAAAACTGTTTGGGCCAGAATTAAAAAAGAAAAAGAAAATTGATGCGGGCCCGCATGTTAGGCCCACAATTCGCCAAACAACTCTTGGTTTTTGGAGACTTGGATCAAGATTGTCTTAATGGGACTCACAATTTAAAGAGTCCATTAGAGTAGCCCAGTCTTCAAATTCAGCCCGATATCGCCGAAAGTATCACTATTGGACTTGCTCTTAGAGTCAGGAAGTTTTCTTGAAAAAGAAAAGAAAGTTCAGGGGGTGGAGTTTGACGGACTTAACCCTATTTTTTAGGAAGAGATTTGGGCTTCGAAGCTCCGTTTGAATGGCCATACAAAGCTGGCCCAAATAGGCCTTTAATAATAGAAGAATGATTTAAACTTGAATTTCATGTTTGTTTTATTATACATTTACATTTTCTTGGAAATGTAATTATACATTTACATTCCACTTGCAAATGAACCAGTGTGCTTTAGAAAAATAAAGAATAAAAAAAGAAACACTCATGCTTTTGGTGTGTCAACTTTAGAGGAGAGTGGAAAAAAGAAAACAATAAAAACAAAAAAACTTTTGACAAAAGCATATGTATGGGGGGTAAAGCAAATTAAAGACGCGTTTTTTTGCATCACAAAATCCTAACACCGACTTCTCTGAAGTTAACTATCTAATAAATCTGGCCGTCCCATTTGTTGCATCAAAAGACGTAGACTTCTTTCTCTAACCGTTTTTGTCTAGACTCGAAACGGAAATTGGATCTTTTTCTGGCACGTGTATCACACTTGCATATAGGATTTAGCTAATCATGGACCGTTGGATTGCATCTCATACAAATAAAATAAAATAAAATCTGACGGTTTTCAGATGGCCACTAAAGCAATTTAGAAATAAGCATGAGACAATTCCAACAATATTGACTAAGTTATGTGAATTTTAATTAATTAGGCAATGAGTTGATTATTTACTAAAGGTAAAATAAAGAATTTAACAATTTTAGCAGGCTCACTTAATTTTGTCTCACCTTACAAACCATGAAAATTAGCGGAGGTCTTTTGAATTATGACTCCAATTTTCATACCATTTTAAAATACTTCACTTGATTCCCATGGTGAGTTAAATTGTTAAACAATTCAAATTTATTTACATAGAAACATCGATAAATAGAAGCATCGATAAATTTGTTTACATAGAAACATCGATAAATTTATTTGCAGAATAATATTTTTATATAACTTTCCCTCAAATTCATGTGACAGTAGTGTTCATTTTAGACTATATATATATATATATCTCTCTCTCTCTCTCAAGATACAATTAATATACAGTAGTTGCTTGGTTACAACTGTTTTAAGGTACTAATGCCTTGCACGCCTTCTTTTCTGTTGTCTTAAGACTTTCTAGTGACAATGCTTTGAAGTAACATCACCACCAACTTAGGACCTAAACCCACAAGCTTAAAAACTTCAAATTAGTTGCGTTTGGAGTACAAATCAGTATTTTGAATTTAAAATTGAAACAAATTTAGTTATAAATTTTAACTAATTTTTTTTTTTGTTTTTAAATTCAAATCAACAATTTAATACTTCCAAACCTGACAAAAAATTAACTTGTTTCTTATAAAACCGTGAAACGACACCATTTAGAATGGTGGGGTAATTTGCCTCTTTCACATTTGATTTTTATTTTATTTTTTATTTTTTTTTGTAACTTTTATTTCCATTTAAATAAAGTAGGCCATAATGGGTATTTTTCATTTGTATTAACGGTTATGTAGAATTTGATTGATTTGAACAACTTTGATACTTTTAGTATAACTTGTCTTCTATTTTTGAAACTTAACTTTTTATTTAAAAAGAGGAAAAGATTTCAAATCTTTGATAATGCCACATATATACATTTATAATTATATATTGATGATAAAGACACTAATTTCTACTGAAACAAACTGATGAATGCACGATTATTCTGATTATTCTGCATCCAGTGGTTAATTCATGAAATTAATGTGTTGAAACTGGCATGGTGTCTAATAGCTGGACAGAGAGCACAGTGTGAGGTGTCAAATTTTGTCAATTGAGAGCATTATTTAGCATAATAAGTTGATATATACATATATATATATATATAATAAAATAAAACGCTACATAATAAATAAAAAAGGTCGATGGCTTAACGGTGTTTTACTTTCTAAAGGAAGGTTACTGTTAGCAAAGTTGTTTCTTTATTTTTCTTCAAATCCAACTAATTCTTCTTATTTTATACATAATTAGTAAGTCGTTAACTGAGAATTTTTCCATAGATAAAACGAGGTAAAATGCTCATTTTTTTAATAAATGGTTCAAATTATTTTTTGGATGACTGTTCTATACTAAATAAAAAAAAAAAAAAAATCATTTTGAAACCATCTCTGTATTAACATAGAGATGGAAAGAGTACAATGTTGCTTCTAGACTTCAAATGATTTAGCTTTAACTATTTTAAGATCCCAACTATTAATTGCTGTAATTAAGCCCTTTAACTTCAAAAAGTGATTGCTAAAAAAAAAAAAAAAAAAACCAAACTTTAAAAACTGCTCACAGCTAACTAAATGGTTTTGACCATTAAATAATTCTATGTGTTTTGTTTTATAAAATTATGTAGCTTTGGTTAGATGGAAAATGAAAGTAAAAAAATAAATAAATAAATAAATAAATTTTGTATGCTGTTTTTGATTAGTATGATTTTTTTTTTTTTCAAAGAAAATTGTAAAAAAAATAATATTTTATTATTTCAAGTAGTTGAATTCGTGTCTCAATATTTGTAAATAATCATGACAAGAAATAAAGAGCTCATAAGATAAATAATCATGACAAGAAATAAAGAGCTCATAAGAAATTTCATGAGGAAGACCTCATAGTAACATTACTCTTTTATATATAGATATCAAGAAAACAAAATTTTAATGTCTTTTATAGAAAAAAATTGTGAGAAAGTTAGGTGGTTACAAAGAAATATATACTTTCCCACAAAGATTTCCTTTTCCATGTTATCCAAATTATTAAAATGTCTAAAAAAATTCCATTTATTTTCCTTCCATGCTATTTACAACATTGTTAAGTAATTCTTTATAAAATAGTATGCTTTATTAGATGGTTTTAGAACTAAAATGGTATCAACTTAAATGAAAAAGAAAGCAAATGGAGATATTTTAAATGTGAAAATAAAGCTAAAACAATTATGTGGATACGGAAGGCTCAAGTATTTTCCTTCTGACTTAACCTCTTTTTAAAAAAAAAAAAAAAAAAGGTAACGTCTAATAATTTTGTAATGATCATATTCTAGTTTTTCAGAAAAAAAATTCCACAAATTGCAAAATATGACCGTTAAATAATACCTTCCTTTCTTTCTCCGCTACTCTCTCTCCAGGCACATTTCTCACTCCAACTCCCTGTGCCTCACAAATTACAACCCAAGTGGGTTCAATCAAAACACTATATATATATATATAGCTATATATCTATATCCCACCACCACAAATAGTGTCCCACAACAATGGCACCAACTTTCTCTCACCTCTTTCTCTCTCTTCTTTTCGTTCTTCTCAGCACTCCACCTCTGTTTTCCTCCGCAACTAGTACTGAAAATGATCTTTTCTTATCTTCAAATCTAAATTTCCCAAAAATAGAGGCAAAAAAGCTCATCAGAGAGCTCAACTTGTTCCCAAAGGAGGATTCGAACACCGGTGTGAGAGACTCTTCTTGGATTAGTAGTGCAACGGAGATAGTCGAAAAGCGGTTTGAATTCCCATATCTTGGTGATTCAGGGGCCACTGTTCAAGACTTGGGTCACCATGCTGGTTACTATCGACTTCCACACACTAAAGATGCAAGGTATATATATATATATATATATATATATATATACTCAAAATTGTACTATGTAATATATAATTATATATGTGTGTGGATTATGATTCAGATTTTTGCATAAATTGTGTGACCATGGTCAATGAAATGGTTCCACGCCATTTAATGGGATATATATACGCGCGCGCGCACAATCAAATGAAGTATTTTTTAGTATCTCTATTTTTAGGGAAGGGACTAATTTTGCTTGCCCAAGTTCATGTCCATTTAGTGCTTCACTTTTATTGATTACGAGGTAGTTTATATTTATGCATAAAGAAAATTGCTGAATTATTTCCTAAAAAATATATATATTTTTGCAGGATGTTCTATTTTTTCTTTGAATCGCGAAACAGCAAGAGTGACCCTGTTGTTATATGGTTGACTGGAGGACCAGGGTGTAGCAGCGAATTAGCAATGTTCTATGAAAATGGTCCTTTCCATATAGCAAACAACTTGTCTCTTGCATGGAATGACTTTGGCTGGGACAAGGTACCTTTTTTTCCTTCACATTTTTACAAAACTTGTATTAGATCAATGCAAAGATGAACCCTCTTTCTCTCTCTCTCTCTCTCTCATAAATTGCAATCATATATATATATATATATATATATATATATTTGGCAATGTTTATAGCTTATTGCCAACAGAAACTTCTAAAAAATTAAAATGTAGATCAATGGTTAAGTAGTCTTCTGAGGCGAAATGTAAACTCGGACGTTAAAAACACCTGAATTTAAAAAAAAAAAGCGTGGGGTGATTGTTCTCCAACAAAATTTGATGAAGTAGAATCAAGAATCCAAGAAAGTTTATTGCCATATTTTGTGCGAATTCTATACTAACATATTCATAAAATGAATGAAATAGAAATGTGAATGTTGAGATAGATGTGATCATGCCTGACAAGACAAAAAATGATGGCATATCCTGTACCGAAGGCCAACGGCACAAATATATTTGCAGTAGTTTTCACTTTGGTAGAAATTAGGACCAGGTGATGATTTAGGGTCCCAAGGTTAAATTAAGGGGCAAAAATCTAAACAGTGCATTAGTTTTAACTTATAACATGGGCTTCAAAAGAGAAATAAAGGATAGAAAATCTCACACTATTGCAACATCCGTGTAGTGGAGTCACTAGGACAAATTCATGTCTTGCAGCACTGATCTCATCTTCCTCAAAAAAGAGGTCGAATTTCAGTGTATTTTCGAGCCATATGAATCTTGTTTTTTTTATCATGATGCAATATCAATATGAACAAAACTCAAAACCATGAATGAATTCAGAAACATCTGCACAAAATATGCTTTACTTAGTCTTGATCAATCACTGTCTGTATGCTATTCTCAGAACTGCAATTCAAGTAGTGAATCTTACATTTATAGTCAGATGACATTTATCACATGTCGTAATCTGGCAGATATCAAACCTTATATATGTCGATCAGCCCACTGGAACCGGTTTCAGTTACAGTTCAGATGAGGATGATATTCGTCACAATGAACAGGGTGTTAGCGATGATCTCTACGACTTCTTGCAGGTTAGTTTGCAGATTACTAGTCCCTTTCTATCAAATAATACTTCACCTTACTTCCTCATTCATTCTAATATACAGTTATGTTCTCATACTACTCTTTCAAACTTCATGATAGCATGATATATCATTATAGAATGCCTAGGAGTTGTTAAGATTGGAAATGGAACTAAGAATTTACTCACTCTCTCCCTATAATGTTAGGCATTTTTCAAGCAGCATCCTCAGTATGCAAATAATGACTTTTACATTACTGGAGAATCATATGCTGGGCACTACATTCCTGCTTTTGCAGCTCGGGTTCACCAGGGAAACAAAGGAAAAGAAGGAATACACATAAACCTCAAGGTATACAACTAATATTATCTGACTTGCTTAAAGTACGTTGGTTCATCTAAATTAATCAATTTTGGGAATGGTTGAACAGGGATTTGCTATTGGTAATGGGCTCACTGATCCTGCAATTCAATACAAAGCATACACAGATTATGCTTTGGACATGAAACTAATTAAACAATCTGATTACAACCTCATAAGCAAGTCGATTCCACCATGTGAACAGGCAATAAAACTTTGTGGTAATTCTTCTCATTCCGAGATTTGCCTGTTCCTTTTCATTAAATACATTTTTTATGTTGTTTAATTGTCATAGTCTCATAGAAGGCTTTATGGTTCTTGGTAATGTGCAATGAATCTTTCACTTATACTCCATAATGACAGGCACTGATGGTGAAGACTCTTGCATTGCTGCATATCTTGTTTGCAATAACATATTCAATAGTATCATGAAGGTTGCAAGTGGTACAAATGTAAGAAAGCTCAGAAAAATCCATTGTTTTTGTTTTCTATGAGAGAGTGGAATGTTAGAAGAAACATATATATGTTTTCAACTTACATTCGAAATTGTCTTCATCTGTAATCCACAGTACTACGATGTCAGAAAGAAATGCGAGGGGGACTTGTGCTATGACTTCTCAAACATGGAGAACTTCCTGAAACAGCAATCAGTTAAGAATGCTCTTGGTGTTGGGGACATAGACTTTGTTTCGTGTAGTTCGACAGTATACGGGGCTATGCTGATGGACTGGATGAGGAATCTTGAAGTAGGAATTCCTGCACTTCTTGAAGATGGAATCAAACTACTTGTATATGCAGGGGAGTATGATCTCATCTGCAACTGGCTCGGTAAACTTCTCTAATTCAATTGAAAGACTCATATTCTTAGTTTGAATGATCTGCACTGATCCTCAAACAGAAATATCTTTTCAGGGAACAGTGTCATTGGGCATGTCTATAATCATTGTGTGTTTCTATAATGGCAGGGAATTCAAGGTGGGTTCATGCCATGGAATGGTCTGGCCAGAAGAACTTTGTAGCAGCTCCCACTGTTTCATTTGTAGTTGATAAAGCAGAAGCGGGGCAATTAAAAAGCCATGGGCCTCTCACTTTCCTCAAGGTATCTCTCTCGCTCTCTCGCTCTCTCTCTCTCTCACACACACACACACAGGTAGGCAGCTGCAAATTCTAATTTGACAACCTTGGCTGTGCACAATGACAAACAGGTCCATGATGCTGGTCACATGGTTCCAATGGATCAACCAAAAGCTTCACTAGAAATGCTGAAGAGGTGGACACAAGGCAAACTTGCTCAGAGTGAGACAGAAGATCGGCTTGCTCCCATGTGATTTCCCCAAACTCACCAGTTTCCTTTTCATGATCAACATTGTCTTTCACATTTGCTTTGAAATATGGCCTCCCAGAAGAAATGTTCACAGTTGCTTTTAAAAATAGGCCCGATCATAGTGTGTTTGTGATTGTTACCCAACAAGCCATTTCATAAACTTTGTTTTGCACCGCAGATAAGTTTTGTATGTGATAATAAATGAAGTCAGTCATATGATTATACCTTGCCAACCCACACATTGCAGTCTTCAATTCTCTTTTAAATTTTATCAACTGAATAACTTCTAGTATATATATCAACTATAACCAACAAAAACTTGGCAAAATGAAGCCTTCTTATACTTTTCGCCATCCCATTCTAAATTCTGAGATGCAGCAGCATTCAAACATAAACAAATTGTTCTTGGTTATCTCTGTAAGACAATAAAATCAAATCATAACTCTGCTTTGGAACCCAAGCGATTGATATATACAATCATGAAGAAGACCAGTTAGGAACCAGATTTTGCCCCACGCAACACCGGACATAAACTAGATTGCACACGAACAAGTATAACTGAGACGATTCAGTTAGGAACCAGTTCCAGTTCTTGATCCATACAACTCTCTCAAGGTCTCGATTGCTGGACGAAAACCAGACCGGATAGGAACAACTGAGATGGCCCGCAGATGCTGGGCATTTCCATTTTTCGGTTTCGACAGTGTCACTCTCAACATCTCTCCCTCCAGAACTTTATCCAAATTCACAGCTACATAAAAGGTTCTCGAATCAAACAGAGAGAATCAAAGGAGGGATGAATGACTATCAATTAATTGAAAATAAAGTTTTTACTATTATAAGATCTCTAACAGAAGAGGTTGATTAGACATTCCAAATAAATAAAAATATAAATCATTTTCAACCTAGTGATAGTTGTTCTCTTAAAAATCAATCAAATACCATGAACAGCTCAAGTCATTAGACCCGTTTTCAATATGCTAGTGAGATTTAGAAGCAAAGCTGCACATATAAGAATGTCCTCTTTGGTGGTCACAATTCACTAGGCAATTTATTTGATATATGAGAGTGGAATTCATTTTTTTTCAGGGAAATCAAGCTCGAATGAAATCCCAACAGTTCCGTTTGGTTGATGGGAAAATTTCAGGAATAATTCGTTTGGAATGGAACCCAGCAAAACAAAAACCTTAATTTCACTGGACCTAGTAAAAGAGCTTGTAACAAACTACTATAAGTTGGAAAACTGAATAAATCATGATAAGAAATCTTGAACTTGTTTCCTAACGCACCACAAGTTGCATTTTCATTAAGAAAAAACTTTAGGACTGAATCAGAGAAGTAAGTAGGTACAGTACCAGCAAAAGGATGAATCTTGGCAAAGTCAAAGAACTCATCAGCAGAGCAACCAAACAGAACCCTAGCAACCCTGTCAAAGCATATCACCACAAACACCTTTGTATCCGTAGCAATAGACATCTGAAAACGAAAACAAAAACAAAAAAATCAACCAACCCAATGAAAACATCATGAAATCAGAGGCCCCAATTCTTCTACGAGAAACTCAATTTCTGAATAAACAAACAGTGACCAATGGAAACCCAGGAATCCCAATAAAAGGGAAGAAACTACTACTTACGAGGACACGAAAGAGGCGTTTGGAAGAGGATGAACCAGACTTGAAGGCATTGTTGAAATTGCAGTATCTGCAGAGAGAAGAAGAAGTGCTGTTGTTTTCGGGGAGGGTCCTCTCGCAAATGGAGCACACTCTATAACAGAAGTTGGTGTGATCTATGGCTACCACCGTGCATGCTAACGTTGTTGGCTTATCATCTTCCATGATATGGGTTTTGATTTTTTGAACAATCTGAAATGATATGCCGATATGGGTTTTGATTTTTTGAACAATTTGAAATGTAGATTGTGTAGTTTGCAGTTGCACAGAGAGAGAGAGAGAGAGAGGGCAAGTACAGAGTTGAGAACGAGAATAGATACGGAGGCGAAGGCTGAAATGATTTGCCCTAAGCCTCAGTTTGGTAGAGTGGAAATGGGAGGAAAGGGAAGGGAAGGTGGGAGGAAGGGTAATTAAAAAATTATGTTTGGGTAAAATTGATAGAAGGGAAGGAAAGGAAAGGAGAAGGAAGGGTTTGGAGGGTTAACACAAGACTTCTATAGTAAATTTCTTAACTTATCATAAATGGACGGAAACGGAAGGAGAGATTTGGTGAGTGATTTCTTATGCCAAATTTGCACTTGATTACATACAAAACTCATACGTACAAGTTAGCAATTGCAGAGAGAGAGGGGGGCAAGCTTGAGAGTTGAGAGAAAGAGGGCCGGCTGAAGCTTGCGAACGGCGAATCCGAATTGGAAGGGCGATGGAAACTGAAAGATCGATATGGCTGAAATTGGGTTTTGATTTTTTGAACAATCTGAAATGATGCCGATATGGGTTTTGTAGTTTTGATTCTTGCTGACAAATATATAAACTGAAAGAAATGGGTTTTGAACTTCTGATTTCTTGTATTTGCAGTTTCAGAAAGAGATGAGAAAGAGAGAGAGAAGGGCAAGTTCAGAGTTAGGACGAGAATAGATGGAGGCAGGGAGGCTAAAATGATTTACCCTAAAAATATTATATATATATTACATACGTTTTGTTATAGGCCTTTTTTTTTTCTTTCTTTTTTTTTTTTTTTTTTACAAATATTACATACTTAAATTTATAAATTTTTCTTTTAAAAATTAAAAGGGTATAATAGTAAATTTACTAAAATACTTCCATTCTCTTTCTTTTCCCAAACATGATCATTATCATTTCCTTTCTTTTCCTTCATTAACCAACCAAACACGAATAGGGGTTAAAATTAGCCTTCCATTCCCTTTCCCTCATAACTAATTTTATCCTCCCCCTTCAAACCCACCGTACCATACATAGCCTAAGGGGTGACTTTGGAAAAAAAAAAAGAAAGAAAAAAAAAAAGGAAAGGATAGTGTAAGTTAGGAGAGAAAAGAAAATAAAATAAAAGAAAAAATAATATTAATTTATATTCATGTTTGGATATATAAGAGCATCTCTAATGGTAAAAGTTATTTTCGCATGCCAAATCTATATTTTGACATGTGCTACAGTGTCAAAATGCTACATTTTAGCAATTCTGCTCTAATTGTGCATTTCATGCAAAATGCTATTTTTTGACACAACCACTATTCTATTTCAACTACCATTCCCACCATTCATATTTGTATCAGTAATATTAATATTAGTCACATTTCAAGTCAAATTGTAGATATTAGAAGGAAACTAAAATTAAACCTAATTATCAAGAAGCAAAAATCTAAAATATCTTGTCAAAAAAAGACCAAAAAAAGAAAAAAGAAAAAAATAGAGATAAAACAAAATGATATATATATATATATATATATATATATATATATATTTTCAGGAAATTTTTATATATATATATATATATATATTATATATTTGATTATATTATTATTAAAAAACAAAATATTTGGCTTGTTTACCTTATTAAAAATCAATAAATTATCCATATTTCATGTACTTGATTAAAACCAATTTGAGGTGGTATAAGCAAAGATTTTTCCAAACATTGAACAGGAAATCATGCATATATGTACTGGAACATTGAACGGGAAATTATGCATATCCTACAAAAAAAAAAAAAATGGCATTCTTTAAGTAAAAATAGCTGACTTAACTATTTTTTTTTCCCTGACTGAAACAAAGGAACACTAAACCGTTTTGATTTACACAAAAGGAACACTAAATAGTTCTGATTTACATAAAAGGAACACTAAAGAGGGCCACACATCCCTTTCAAATCCGAATATTTGTTTTTGACAGCCCATTTACACAAAACGGCGACAACTAGTTGCAAAAGTGAAATCACATCTTCACATGTCCTTCATGGTGGAGATGGGGGAAGAGGAACATAATAATCCAAATTTGTTGAGCATGTTTGTAGTTTGACAAGAATCTCATTCTTGCGCAGTTGGTAATAAACTTTCGCCTGAGGGTCCATGTTGGAAAGGTCCATCATCATAATCTTGTTATCTCTCTCTTTTTTCTTGGTTTCTTTTTCTTCTTGCTCCATTTGATCCATTACTTCAACTTTTCTTTCTTCTATTTCGAATTTCTTCATTCTACCCTCAGTTGTATTTTCGTTAAATTTTTCCATCAAATCATAAAAACGAGTGTCTGAAGTATCTACTATCTTGCTTTTCCTACGTGATTTTTTTGCAGCTTTCCTTTCACTAGGCCTTTTGGTTCTTGGGGAGTTAACAGATTTTTCAGTTCGATCTTGATCGGAATCGAGAGAAATGGGCGTCTCAGGATTTCAGGATACGGAAGAGGAAAATAGGGAAAAGGAATATGGGGTCATTGCAGGAGACTTTAGCTTTTTGGAGGATCCCCGGTCTTCCCACTTAATAGCATGTTCCAAGATCCCCAAACAGTGATCCAAAGGAAAGTGTTTCTTTTCATTTTCATAATACAAACTTTTTGCTTGAAGAACCTAGAAAATGATATGAAACAAAATAAGATGTATAAAAATTAAAATTACAACTAACAAGAAAAGTAGAAATCTCACTTTATCTATTTCATTGATTCCACTCTGTTGCCTATTTTCAAGTCTGAGGCACCCACTATATTTACCGCAACACTTCATGATTATGCCCCAACGAGATTGAATAGCAACTTGTGTTTGTATATTTTCGTCGTTGCAGTGATCAAGATAATTTTGGAATATCCGATTCCAAAACTTACTCTGTGATTGCGAGTTACCAACAATTGGATCTTGGGTGATGCACAACCAAGCATTGCAAATTGCTATATCTTGATCCAGCGTGAATGTCTTTCCCCGTTTTGTTGATGATTGAGAAACTTCCATTGATAGTTATCAATATGCCAAATCAAAGCAAGGGTCTGTGAACAAAAATGACCTAAAATTAGCACATATCATTTGATACTGATTGATTCTCTTTTATGTTGAATGTACATCTACTTTTTTCTTTTTGATTTAAATATTGATGTTCTTGTTTTATTTTTAACGCATATATGTTTTCCACCTATTCTCTTGAAGAATGAGAAGTCATCAACTTTGAATTGAGTCTATATATGAAGAAGATGATAAAATGGGAAAGCTGGATTGTGGGCACTTGTACCACATTAAATGCATAAAGCAGTGGCTTATGAACAAAAATATTTGCCCCATTTGTAAAACTCAAGCTGTGCCTGAATAGCTAGGAACTCGTACCAGGTGGTCTCTTTAAACAGTCTAAAAATTGGACATGTTCAATTTTATTTTTTTGTTATGGACTTATTAAAGAGGTCAATCATATTTAATAATGTCAAGTGACTTTTACTGTAGTTTCTGTTTTGAATTCTTTGAAAAACTCTAATCTCTCTATCTTTCTTTATTGAGTTGCTTTTAGGTGGGTTTTCTTTACCTTGCCTCTGGTTCATTCTATTGGGGCTCGTGTTTTTGTTTTTGAAAGTAACCCACAGCCTCTTATACTTGTAATACTTTTTTTTTTTTTTTTTCATATTATATATATATATTACATAGTTAATTGCTACCTTCTACTGTTATTAAGCCCATAAATTTTTACAAATAGCACTGTGTTAAAGTTGATATTTATTTTAAAACACAAATGTAAATAGTGTGGTTGAAGAGAGAGAACAGTTTGGACCTTGAAAGTATGTTATGCAGATGTAAGGTTTCTAATAGATTAGTATTATCAAACAAAGAATGATAATGATCACATTAAAATGCATTGATTTGATTCAGAATGAACATAGGCATGAGTATCTGAAAATTGAGAAACCAAAACGCAAAGATAACTTACTATGGATATGGGAAATAATTATAGACCTTCTTGTTGAGGATATTGAAGATGACATTTAGGAAGTACCTGAACAAAAAACCACTAAAGAATCAGCAAACAAGTTCATACACAACAAATTTAGTGTGTGTTTGTGCCACATGGCGTGTATATGAATGTCTAAATGCAATAATATTCATGTCAACAATAGTAATATACCATCTCACAGAGTATACTCTTCAAGTGAAAAAATTAGATGAGTAAAAAATCTGCTCCATATTAATCAAAACCATGTTTACAACAAAATATATTCCAATATATGTTATATAGATTGTGGATGTGTCTAATTGTTGTATTCACTATCTTCAAGCCTAAGGACACATGAACCAAACTATATATCTGTACCTTGAACTTATTTTAAAAAAAAGATAAATTAAAAGGAGACAATTTTATGACCAAAATCATATGATAAACCTAAATTATCAATATGCTTCCTAGTTGCATATTGGACTTAGAATATCCAACACCAGTACTCAACACGTTTTGTTTGAAAATGCTGTTGGAAACGGGGGCATTAAAAACATAAACTTTGGATGAGATTTGAAATAGATTCCGTTAATAATTTTTTACGGATCTCTAGACAAGCGCGTTTCTCTACGTAAGGAGATGAATGTGGTATATTTACTTTCTGAAATTCGTTTCCGGATGAATGGGAAATTAGCTCCAAAGTGTGGTGTTTTGATAAGCCTAAATGGGTCTGCAAAATGTGAGAAGTGTTTATCCCACATGGAAAAAATGTTGAAACAAATTGAAATTTAAATAAGCTGAGTTTATGATTTGGGCTTGAGCTTGGGCCTAATTGTAAAGTCCAGATTATTCTTTTTTGGAATTTTGGATTGGGCCTAATTTTGGGCTGGGCTTATTTAAATGGGTTTCATAAATGAGTGGGTTTTTTGGGTGGTTGGCTTTTTGAATTAAAAAAAAACTACTTTTTAGTTTTTCTAAAAGGTTACACCTTTTAAATTAAAAAACCATATTTTAGTTTTTCTAAAGGGTTACACCTTTTAAATTAAAAAACCACTTTTTAGTTTTTTTTTTTTTCAAAGGGTTACACCTTTTTCCGAACCATCATAACCCATGGTTGTACCCACTCAAAAAGACACCATGTGAACCATTGCAACCTATTGGAATTGATGTG